AGTCATATATAGATTCAATGCAATGCCAATCAAAATCTCCATGAGTTTTTTCACAGAATTGGAAAAAAACATCCTAAGATTCACATGGAAGCACAAAAGACGTCAGATAGCCAAAGCAACCCTGAGCACTAAGAGCCATGCTGGGGAGATTACTATTCCAGATTTTAAACTATATTACAAGAGCTATAGTCATAAAAACAACATGGTACTGGCACAAAAACAGACCCACAAATACATGGAACAAAACTGAAGACCCAAGTATGAGTACATGCAATTTCAGCCACCTGATATTTGACAAAGGGGCCAAGAATATTCATTGGAGGAAAGACTGCATGTTCAGCAAATGGTGCTGGCAAAACTGGATCTCTAGCTGTAGAAGAATAAAACTAAATCCCTATCTTCACCTTGCACAAAAGTCAACTTCAAATGGATACAAGACCTCAATGTAAAGCCTGAAACTCTGAAACTATTAGAAGAAAATATTGGTGGTATCTTACAAAATATAAGTGTAGGAAAGGACTTTCTAAATCAGACACCAGTTGCTCAGGAATTAAGGTCAACAATCAATAAGTGGAACCTCATTAAACTAAAAAGCTTCCGTACAGCAAAAGAAACAACCAAAAAAGTAAAGAAAAAACCCACAGAGTGGGAGAAAATCTTCACAGAGGTTCAACACTGACAGAGGTTCAGCATCTACTTCACAGAAGTTTAACATCTGACAGAGGTTCAACACTCAGAATATATAAAGAACTCAAAAAACAAAGAATCAAGAAAGGAAGAAACCCAATTAAAAGATGGGCTAAGGAGCTGAACAGAGCATTCTCAAAAGAAGCAGCAAAGATGGCTGGGAAGCATCCTAAAAGGTATTCAACATCATTAGTATTTAGGGAAATGGAAATTGAAACCACTTTAAGATTTCATCTTACCCCAGTCAGACTGGCTAAGACCAAGAAAACAAACCAAATGTTGGAGAGGATGTGGGGAGGTCTATACACACATAATACTCTTTTAGTTCTTTCTTATTTCCCAGCTACACCTTGTTGCTGAGGGGACAGTCAGCTCAACACTGGTGCTGCTGGAGAGTAGAAGGTGCTCTCTAAATTCCTGACATTTGATAGCCAGTCTAAGCACATTTTCCATTCCATCTTTATAATATGTTGTACTTCAGTGACAAGGAACCTTTGCTAAAGAATGGAAAATAAATAAAAGGCACAAGATGCTTCAAAACATCAGCTTAAAAACAAACTTGAAGGGATTCGAACCTTTAACGTTTTGGTTGTTAGCCTTAGCCTTTAAAGGCTGCACTACTAAATGAAGTAACACAGACTCAGAAAAACAAACGATGTATGTTCTCCCTCATATGTGGATCCTAGCACCAAGCCCTTATAAATCCAAATATCCCAGTCACCACTCATCAAAGAAGCTCATTTTGCAGCAGTCAGAGACTAATTCCAAGTACCACAACTGGTCACACAGACATTGTCTATGAATTGCCCAGGCCTAAGGGACACATCTGCAATGCAACCTCTACACCTAAGGCTCATGGAACATAGAACAGGGATACAGAAGAGGACACTAGGGAATCAGTTCTCAGTAATGAAGCTCCTCATGCAGCAGAGGGCCAGGAACAAAAGGTCACAAGTGGCCAAAGTGTAGAGATCAAGAGTCTGCTGAATGATGGTCCTTGAACAGGACCCCTTTATTAAACTTCATCCACCCAGGGCTCAGGGACCATCATGGAAGAGGGACCAGAAAGACTGTAAGAGCCAGGGGAGAGGTGCATGACCATATGGAAACAGAATCCTACAAGCTCCTGAGAACCTGCTCATACAATTCTATGGCAATGGTGTCAGCATACACAAGTCCCATGCGAACTCAGGCAGACAGTAACCCATCATAGAACGGGGAAAATTAACAAGGCAGACTAGATCCCAGTGGATGAACTTGCACTGAAGGACCATCTGGAGATACTAACTTTACATGCTAGGCCTTAACACAAATGACAGAAGGTATGAATTCCAGTGGGGGGGCATGGAAGGATGCCAGTGAGGAAGGGGTATAAAGATGATTAAGATTGTTTGAGATGTTCTGTATGAAATACAAAAAAAGAAAGAAATCAATTTAAAAATGTTTACACCTTAAAAAAAATAATAAATATTTAAAAAATAAAATTATAGGGCTGGAGAGATGGCTCAGCAGTTAAGAACACTAGTTGATTTCCAGAAGACCCAGGTTCAGATCCCAGCAGTCACATGATGGCTAACAACTATCCATTACTCCAATTCCAGGGGATCTGGTGCCGTCTTCTGACCTCCATGGCCGTTGCATGACACAGATGCATTTACATACATGCAGGCAATGCACTCACACACATACAATACAAAATAATAAATAATAAAATTTTTAAACACAGTTACTGCAGAGGGAACTGTGGACCTCTGTTCCACAGCAGGGTCCTAGAGATGGATCCCTGGTCTACCTCCAGGGGAAGAGCCCTATCAACTTCCAGATCTGTTGATGTGCTGACACACCTGGATTCTTGGTTCACAGTTTGAGACAGCCCAAGGCCCTTTCATTAACCACATCAGGGAAGAACCTCATCCTGCTGCTTTTAAATGCTGTAGCCCCACTGTAGGGCTTCTGTGATGCCACAAAAAACAAACGTGCTTCATCCTACACAGAACAAAGGAAACTGCTGGACTCCTTCAGTAGGGCTAGTGACATGCAAAGTCCTTAATGCTAAGTAGTGTTTAGGAACTGTTACTAGTTCCTAAAGTAGCCTGCTTTATAACTACCCCAGAACTCCCTATAGCATGTTTAAGCATCCATCACGACCTGTTTACAGACAGTGTGGTTTTACATTTCAGGGTTTCCTGTATCAGAGGGGTAGAACAGGGTGCTACCAAATCCCAAGGCAAGTGGCACCTCAGCTCTCAACTTGGAATAGTGTAGCTGGGCATCACAAGAACAAATGGTGTTTGGAGCAGGGAAGGAATGCAGTCCTGGGGATTCTGACACTGCATCTCCTTGGTTCACAGCCTGGCAAGGCTCATGTGTGAATGTCACCTTGTGAGTCAGGATTATTCTCAGTCACACGCATTTCCAATACAGCTAAGAGAATCCCAAGGGACTGGGTTCAATGGTTAAGAGCACTGGCTGCTCTTCAGAGGACCAGAGTTCGGTTATCCCACTCACGTGGTGGCCATGACCTTCAAATTTTCACTTTTTCCAGCCCTCAGAGAAAGGTTGACTTTGTTCTGATTGCGTACGTATTCTGTGAGTGTTCGTGTACATGTGTGCAAGTGTGAAGGCCAGATGTTGGCATCAGGCCTCTTCCTCCATCTCTCTCCACTTTGTTTTTTGAGACAAGGTCTCTCACTGAACCTTGAATTCACTGGTTGTCTAAACTGGCTGGCCAGCAAGCCCCAGGGATCCTCCTGTCTCTACCCCACCCCCGGCCCCCCAGTACTAGGATTAGAGGAGCTGCACCAGCTCTTACATGGCTGCTGGGGATCCAAATTCAGGTCTTCGTGCTTGTGCAGCAAGCCAGTTCCCCAGTCCCCTGACTTTATTCTTCAGATCTCGTGTCTAGAACTCCAAGGGAAACACTGATGGACCCATCCTCGTGTAGAGGTCCATCAAGGCAGCCATATACAAAGGCAGAGGTGATGTGGTGGCTGGGGAATCTCCAGGGAAAGGGAGAGAGAACAGTGGGGTAAATGCTGCGTCGATGGCGGCTGAGGGCACGTGTCCACCGTAACTTCGTTTTCAGCCCACAGACATGAGCTTCATGTTCTGTGACGCACGGCTTCAAATTCCACTTGTCTCCGATGATCTTCCAAGCCTCCCGGGGTCTCCATCGGTGATGCTGCCTCTTCAACTGACCCCACAGAATGCCATTAAGCACATCCCTTCCAGACACTATTTCTCCACTGTCCCCAGATGTCCACTAGATGGCAACAGAACTCATTAGCCAGAGCTCTAGACACCAGCCTGCCTCCCTTGCCTGGGGATGTGCAGAACAGAGCAAGCAGGCGGGAGGTGCTTCCTAGGTAAAAGGACAACTTAGGCTAACAAGGAAGGACTTAAGGGGACAGCAGAAGACGTGCAGCCTCACCGGAGCACGTGTGAGGGGCACTGATTTGAAGAGCACTTGAAACAGGTTAGAAGCCAAATTGCAGTATTTCATTTATGAGACTTGTCCTGGAGAAGAAGCCGCCAAAGAAACCTGTTTTCCCTGGGGAGATCGAGACAAATCCCTGCCTCCCCCAAACAGGGCACCCATGACAAGCCGAAGTCTAACTCGGGGAGCCAGTGCATTTATCGGGCTCACTTAGAGAGCATGGGTGAAGGGTTTCCTCACAGGCGTGTGGGTGACCCCAAAGCAGCCTCAGCCCAGAAAAGTCACATCCCACAATGGATGACAACTTCCCCGTAGCTGCATAGATGAAGGCCCCTTTCAGTTAGCCTTCCACGCTCCAATACTCTTAGCACTTCCTGAGACCCTGAGATCCCATGCCATTAGGACAGCATCACAACACAGCTGCCTGGGTGCTTAGATGAAGATGGCAGGTACTGTGCTTAGAAGATGATGCTCTAACGACGGGAGACTGTGATGAGGCAGTATTTCTGCATAGTGAATGACAGGAAGACACAGTGGGAGGCCATGGACCCTGACCTGTGTCAAACAGCACCTAGGATGGTAGTGCTGTTGGGGCTGTGCAGGCTGTGAGGCTGTGGGGCTGCAGGCCAGCAGAGCTGTCAGGAGCCCCAGAACTGGATTCACAAGTGAACAACAGGTTCTAGAACCAGGAGTTGGGTGATCTGGGCTTCCACATGCTGTTGGGGTACAGCATCCCTGCTTCTCCTTAAGATTCCTTCTTCCTTCCTCACACACACACACACACACACACACACACCCTTCTCCTGCTCCTCCTCCTCCTCTTCCTCCTCCTCCTCTTCCTTCTCTTCCTCCTCCTCTTCCTCCTCCTCTTCCTCCTCTTCCTCTTCCTCCTTCTCCTCTTCCTCCTCCTCCTCCTCCTCCTCCTCCTCTTCCTCCTCCTCCTCCTCCTCCTCCTCCTCTTCCTCCTCCTCCTCCTCCACTTTTCCTTCCCACCTCACCCTAGCAGAACCTTCCCAGAGTTCATTTTACTGGTAGCTAACACCCTTAGTCTTGATTTCTAAATTGCTGGAGGATGGACTCTGACCGATCAGCCTTAGTTAGGGATCCCCACAGCTTTTTGCTGCATGGCCATGGAGACTAGCTACAGACATCAAAGATGGCTTGTTACTATAGGAAATTAGCAACCACTTCCCATTCAAACTCCCCAAGTTTTCATGATAAATTGTGTGGCTATCCCAGATAAGCTAAGCATGTACAGGTTTGAATGTAAACTTTCATTTTAACCACCAGAGGGCACTGCAGGGTGAGAAACTAAAGGAAAACAACAGAATTTGTGTGTGTGTGTGTGTGTGTGTGTGTGTGTGTGTGCGCGCGCGCGCGCGCGCGCGTGCGCGCGTGTGTACATTATTCACCTCCTTTGAGAGAAGAGTCTCACATTGGTCCTGGGATCCTCTGTCTCTGCCTTCCGAAGGCTGGGATTGCAAACAGACCACCATTTGCCTGACACTTTTATGTGGCTTCTGTGGATCAAACTGAGGTCCTTGAGCTTCCAAGGCAAGCACTTCACCACCTGCCCCATCTCCCCAGCTCTGAAACTTTAGTTTACTAATAACCCAGGATTGGTTCCCTTCCTGCCCATGATGTACACACACATATACACACATTTCATTCTATTCTGTGTGAATGGATGAGTCAGAAATTCTATGAATGCTCATCCTAAAATTGGAACACAGAAAACAGACTGTGAATTCTAACTACTTCTATATAAAAGCTGTGAATGACTATCCTCCAGCCATGTTTTATTTTTAATAAGAAGCGTGTTTCTCCCTTCACAATCCAGGCTAAGACTCACTGGAACACTCCTTGGGTTCTTTGAGAGCAGGAGTCTTTTTCCATGTTTATGTGCAGGGTGTCCTCCATATCTGCTTGGATGTGCACCCCCGATGTCTGTCAGTAAAGGCCAGGTTCTCAGGGCTGGTACCAGCAGGTGCCATGAAGCCTAGTGGAAGGTCTTTATTTTATTTTCATTATTTTTATTTTATGTGTATGAGCATATTGCCTACATGCATGTAAGTGCACCCTTGTCATGCAATGCCCGCGGAGGTCAGAGAGGGTGTCGAAGCCCCTGGAACTGGAGTTACAGATGGTTGTTAGCTGCCATGGGGAGCTTGGATTCAAACTATGCCCTCTGCAAGAGCAGTCAGTGCTATTAAGCGCTCAGCCATCTCTCTGGCCCCATGGAAGGTCTTTGGGTCATTGGTGGTACAGTCTCAGACGCCCTGGTCCGTCCCTCCCTCCCTCTGCTTCCTGCCTCCTTGTGTGATACCAGAGGCCAAATGAGGCCACCTGACCTCAGGTTTCAGCCTCAGAAGTTCAAGCCCCAAAACGGTTCTTTTGGGCTTCACTGGAAGCCTGTGTTAGGTGTTTCACTGTGGTGACAAAAGTTGGCTAATTTACTGGCTGTCTAGTGTGTGTCGTGAATAGACACTTAGTGGCAAGTGAGTGGGTGGAGAATGGGTGAGTCAGTGAATGAATGAGTGAGTGTGAGGGCCAGGGAGAAACCTCAAGAGGACAGACATGCAGCCACCACCGATTGGACTAGAACTTCCTGCAGCTTGGTCCTGATGAGAACATACCTGTATTTAGAAAGGTCTGCAGAGATCACAGACAATTCTACCCAAGAAAATGGCTCTCTTGGGAAAGAAAAGTGAGTTGAAATAAAAGCCTAAAATTCCAGCTCCATTTTTGCATATTATACCCCAATATGAAAATAAGTGGTTTTATTTTCCCTTCTCATGGCAATAAAAACACTTTGGAGGTGGGGCAGTATAGGTACACAGGTGTGCACATGTGTGTTGAGGCCAGACCTTGTTCTTTGAGACAGCCTCTCACCGGCCTGGACCTGCTGGATTAGGCTGGCCAGCCAGAGAGCGCCTGTGCCCTCCTGTGTCAGCCTCCTCGGTGCTGGTACTACAAGCAACACCATGCCCAGCTTTTTTACGTGGGTTCTGGGGATCAAACTCAGGTCCTTGTGTTCAATGCAAGCACTCCCCCATCTCCCATCTTCCCAGCTCCTATGGGAGATTTTTATTAAGATTTGGTGTCGGAGACTGGAGAGATGGTTCAGTGGTGAAGAGCACTGGCTGTTCTTGCAGAGGATCTGGGTTCGAGTCACATGGCAGCTAACAACCGACTGCAACTCCAATCCCAGGGGAACCCATCACCCTCTCCCGACACCTGCGGGCATTGCACAACACAGGTTCACTTACATTCATGCAGGCAATACATTCATACCCACAAGTATTTTTTTAATTATAAGTAAAGTTTTAAAAGAGATTTGGTGTTGAAGGAACAGTATCCCAGGTAAGGCACTGATCAAGGTGGGCATCCATTTTTCATTCAGGTCATTAAGAAAATGGGTCCTCGTCAGTTCATCAGTACTTAAGCATGTCAGTCAGCAGAGCAGAAGACAGAGAAGCAGTTCCAAACAGTGAGTCCTATCTGATTTGGAGGTTATTTTTAATTTTAACAGAAAACCTCACCAGATTATCATGTGTGTGTTTTTAGTGCTAAAGAAAAACATGAATGGAATAAAGTGCCTCAGTGTCACGGAGGACAAATGTCACAGAGGCCACCACAAGTGGCTCCCCAGGGGCATCTGAGAGTCTGAAATCGGATGGAAGACACGCTGTAGATTCCGTGCTGGACACCAAGGCTGTCTGGTATAGATGCATGGAGAGTCGTTTTGATGCTGAAAGGCATAAGCCTGTGACCAAGGCTGGCAGCACTTTGTGAGGAAGGATGTCAGCACAACAGCTCGCCTGAAGTTTGAATCTGTCTCTGTTGAGAAAACTCGCCTCCCCAGCTCCCTTCACTGTCCCAACAACACTTCCTCCCACACCATCTGAGGTCCCTAAGTAGAGACTACACAGGGAAACAATGGCTTGCTAAGCCTTATGCGCACGTGTATGTAGCTGGTGGTCAGTAGCTTGTAGCTGGAGTCAGACTTCGGCTGCATCCTGCTCTCTCAGAACGGCTTCCTCAGCCATTAGAAACATCAGCATCTAACTCAGCCACAGGCAAAATATGGGGGATATGTTGTCCACCTCCAGGAGCAAAGGTGTCCAGAGAACAGGGCTTGAGGCAGTGAGACAAGTCCGGGAGCCTACTCTCCTGGGGCTCTGGGGCAGGGGTTCCACACTGTTGAACACTGTTAAGCACTACTGTTAAGTACTATAGATTTTTTAGTTCTGTGTTGAGTTTTAAATGAGTCGTCATTTTAAACACTTTTAACACTTTCTGTGATAGATTTAGGTTGTCAAAAGTGGGTCTTTAGCAGGCCCTTACGTTCTGCCTAGCTGTCTTCACTGAAGGACTAGTCATGAGCCAAGCAGCCCCTGTCTAGCAGTTGGCCAGACTGTGCTCCTGTCATCTGGATTTGAATATCGCATGCCTTGAGAGAGCTACACTGCTTGCTGCTGGAGCCCAGCTCCGGCTCCAGAAGGCCACATTCCAGCCGCAGCTATCTCAGCTTGCACAGGCTTTTCTCCATCACAAGCCTCGGTGAATTCCGACTGCCATGGTTTCCCTAGCAGCTCAGAGGGCCTGTAGTACAAATGCAGTCCTTTTGCATGAGGTGCTGTGCTGTGAGTGGTACCTGTGTCCTTGCCACGCTCCCTCCCTGAATAAATAAACAGGCATCTGTCGGGATACACGACGCTCCCTGGCTCTTGGCCAGCTCATGGCAAGGTGTCCATTTCCCTCTGCTCTCTGACGATGTGTGTGCTGCTTCCTCAGTGTAGACTCACTGGTGAAGAAATTGGCACATTGAGATGGCTCACTGGGCAAAAACGTTTGCCTTGCCTTGAAAGCCTCATGACCTGACTTCAATGCCTGGAGTCCACAGTGGAAGGAGAGAACTGAGTCTCAAAAGCTGTCCTCTGACCCTCAGGTGCACATCGTGGCATGTGTGTGCCCACACTCACATTTGATATACACGTATATACAATAATAACTTTTAATTTTTAAAAATACTGAGCTTTTAAGCAGATTTGAGCTCTGTGAGATTATTTAGCATATTTGTATGAGGAGGTGAATGTTCACGTGAAGGCGTCTTCACAGGTGTGCATATGGTCCTTGGGCGTCATCTACCTTTTTTGAGAGAGTCTCTCACTGGGACACAGGGCTCGCCAGCTGTGGCCATGCTGGAGGAAGCACGTCACTGGGAGCAGTTTTGAGAGGTCTTAAGCCTTGCCAGATTTCCCTCCGCTTCCTGTGCCTGGTTAAAGACGTGAGTGCTCACGTCCTGCTCCGGCCATCTCTACCATCATGCCTCCCTGCCGTACTGGACTCTAACCCTCTGGAACCATAAGCCAAATAATCTCTTCCCTCTATAAATTGCCTTGGCCATGGTGTTTTTATCACCGCAACAGAAAAGCAACCAATATACCTGTTAACAGTCGTGCTACTGTTAACACTAGAGGACACGTCTTATCTGGCAGATCATTACCTTGCAGGAGTCACAGCTGGATTAAGACTGGGCACTGATGATTTTTCTCCCCCAGCAGCCTGTATAGCACTTTCTGCATGCTGGGGTAAGAAATTCTAGTTAAACTCAGTGGGCCATACATGAAAGAAGGCATGAAGTAGGGACGCTGTTAAGAAGGAATCTAGGGCTGGAGAGATGGCTCAGTGGTTAAGAGCACTGACTGCTCTTGCAGAGGACCTGGATTTGATTCCCAGCACCCACAGCTAACAACCAGTTCTGGGGGAATCCAACGCCTTCTTCTGACCTTTGCAGGCACTGCATGACAAAGGGGCACTTACACACATGCAGTCAATACACTCACACACATAAAATAAAAATAATAATTAAAATTTAAAAAAGAAGTCCCTCAGGCTTGTCCTTAGGCATGAGAGCATTTTTAAGGGTACACATAGCTTTTGTTCAGTTTTCCTGATCTTCCCAGTAATCATGGAGAGAAATGACTCATCATGACGTCCAGCACACACATACCCAGAATGCTTTAAAACACTTAAACAGGATTAGTCCCCATGGACACCTTAAAAGCGTGGTTCTCAACCCAGCGGGAGCACTGTAATCAGCCAAAGAAAGACCTTGAAAAATATTCATGTTGCTGTGTCTCTTAAAGAGGTTCTGATTTAATTAGCCGGTTCCCTCTCGGCTCCAAGGGCTTTGGAATCTCTGTATTCAGGCCTCTAGATACTGACCTCTAGAGACAGAAAGGAAGTCATTGTTCATCTCTGACCTCTCCAGATGCTGTCTTTATTCAGCATAGAATATATATTTTTTTAAAAAAAATAATATATA